TGATACCCAAATTTAAATGTGCCTATTTTGATTTTTGATCAATTAAGCACATTATTATTACTATGATTTTGTATAGATAATTAAGGAGACCCCGATTGGTATACATTGATGAGGCTGTTTCTTCATCCGCGTTTGGCCTGAGAAGACCTTCATGTTTTAATCTAAAAAGGGTGGTAAATAGAACAGAATTGTTTTGAATTTTCCGTTTAATATATTTATAAACCTAATACCTCATTACCGAGTTTATACTTGCTAATTCTCTCACTGGGAGATTTATGGATTTATGTAAAGATGGAATGCCAAACCGTTTCTCTAAAGCCAGTATTACTTTAGGTAGACACTTTTAGACACTTCTATTCTATTCAAAAACAGATTAAAAACGTAATATACAAATTCATGTCTTGCTCACGAAAAGTAGTAGGTTTGTGTTGTGTTTTCATTTCATCAAAGTCGGTTTTCTCACGATCTGAAGCTTTATACTTAGTTTGGCGCTTCAAAAAAACAAACATTCGTTCTCTGTCGATTTCACCCCGTTGAGTTATCTCAGGCATCATATAATGAAATACTGCACCGGTTGACAAGGCAAATATTAGTAATGGCTGCTGAGTTACGCTGTGTATATTTTGACATCACTATCTTGAGTATGAAACAGATTGTCCAAGCATTTGTTATAATTGAAGGATACAGCAAAATGATCATATCAAGCATAGTACATTTTTGATACACGAAACCACATATGTACTTTTCCATAACCTATTTACCAATCATCTCATACTGAATCTCCATATCAATTCAGTGATATATGCTTGGCAAACTTCTAAATATCTGTGCTTATAAATCTTTCAAAAATGTTGGCATTTTATATCACTAAATGACCTTTTAATGCACTGCTGACCCGAGAAGACGTTATTTTTAATGTGATTGCAAACACGGGTGGGATTTGTAATTTATTCGCATCATTTTTTCTGAATAAACTTGACGATATCGAACGAGCTTTTGCTGGGCATTTGCCTACTCATATGACTCCCTGAGTAACTGCACATATCTGTTACAGAGAAACTTGTTCATTGGTATTAGGAAAAAAAACTTTGAATAGAAAGGTTGAAATGCGATTTACAATCAATATTCAAAAATAAAAATTTGTTACATAGACAAAATAATATAGTTTTTTTGTGATATATTGACCTGATAAAATTTTGTATTTCGGAATCTGTCAAACCATATTCATGTGTTAATTTATGCTAACATCTGTACAAACTGAATAAAAAGAAATTATGATTAAATTTTGGCTTCAAAATCAATCAACTTTCTCTTGGCCAAATCGGATACTATCTGAATGGAGCCATTGTGTTTAAATATAACGTCAAACACAAATTGGTTCGTGGTAATTAACAAAACATGACGTGTTGGCAGATGAACGTGCTGCCTCTAAAAATTGGCCATATTTTGAAAGTCAATAAAATGTTTTCTAAGATTAAAGAAGCACCAAATGTGCGTTGATCCATTAACATTACCGAAAAACTTATATCGGGTATTAAATTAAAGGTCTCTCGTTCAAATTTTCACTCAAACAAAATGACGTCCAGTGTACACATACTACGACGTTCCATATCAGGCAAACCTTTTTATCAACACAGAATCGTGTCTTCTAACAAAAATCTTTGATGAAGTTTTGAATTAGAGAATATTGTGTCCGCTAAAAACAAAAAGAGAATGGCATGTTTTTTTTATTTACTTTTGTTTTATTATTTTGTCTTGTAAATTTTTCAAATATTTGCTAACACGGTCTAACGTCAGCCATAAATTGTAGTCGCCAATATATGTCAAAGTAACAAAGATAAGGTAGCTAAGAACAAGGCGGGATGGACGTTTATTATCTACCGTTTGCTATCTTAAATGACAATATTTGTTTTTGTAGAACGTACTGTCCTGTCACTCGCTGACCTATACATTTGCACGCAATCAAATACAACAATTCTCATAATAGAGTAAAATGTACATCTTCGAAAAATGTTATGAAATCACAGGTCGAACGCATTAATATATAGATGATAGTAACAAAATTATTCTGAGAAAAACAGGACATTCAAACAAAGCATGCAAATATATGTAAAGCAAATAATAGTTTTCTCGATATGTGGTCAAGATCTCACTAGAATGGCCTATAGTCACGCTTCACGATTGGGGAGAAATTCCTCAAGGGGAGAAATTTTTTCGTTCTTAAAAAGATATTTTGCTTTGTATTTGCTGTAGTAGTACTAATATTTTTCGATTGTATATTATCACTATATATAGGCTTACCATACGTCCCGCTTTAGGCGGGACAGTCCCGCTTTTCAGCGTTTTGTCCCGCCGTCCCGATAAGTCAGCCAAAAGTCCCGCTTTTCCAGCATAATACACAAACATGTTCTCGTTACTGTTGTTTCTGTGTAGCGCAGCGCTAGCCTACTTACTGAAGGTGTGTGCGTTCGTTTCCCGCTGATTCCCATTCATAGCAGACGTATCGCATGTAAAACCAATACTAATTAGTCTAAATTCGAATTATTTGTACCGGTATCGTTAACGTCAATTCCTTCCTATTTTTCGAACTGAACCCGATATTTGGACAGAGAATATGCGCATGAAATTTCGATAACAATATGGTCAATAAAGACAGCCGAGACAGCTTTAAATGTAGGGATGTAGGCCTATGTAGTAAAATCGGAAAATGTGAAGTTATAAAATCACAGCTAAGGGGCCGTTGTCTTTCGAGGCGTCCCTATTTGAAGTCACAAAAATATTGTAACCCTAACTATATATAATACTTGTGCGCACATTATAAATTACGTAAACTACAATAAAATAGGCAACGGAAGGAATTCAACGAAAACGGCTCAATGAAGGATCATTGTCTACATCGCCATAACTATAGATGATAATTTAGAAATAAATCTTTCTCAACATTATTACCTACAGCGGACCAGAGAAATCTGACCCACGACCTTTCACAAAATTGTAATAACGGAAAAACCCGCTTCATAATCTAGGAATACGTCGTTAAGATCTTGTAAACTAAGCATGCTTTATTACAAAACAATCGTATATTGAGACGAATTTAGAGGTTACCAGCCTGACCAAATAGTTAAAAGTTATGATTATGGGTCGAGGATCTATTGTAGTCTGCGTCATGCAAAGTATTTGCACTAAGTATCTGATGCCCTGATGTGTATACAACTCACAAGTTCTATCCAAAAGAGCTTTACGCTCCTAGACACCAAATGTATCTCTGAATCGTTTTGTTATTATCTATCTTGTTGTAGTTCGGCGAATGGTTGTCGAAGCAAAATCTGATTTTAAGAGCTCCTTATACAAGTTACTTTTGATTAGCAATAAAATACTCTAGAAACAAGTGCAATTTATGCAATGAATATACGCATTAACTTTTAAGATTCTACAAGGCTGAATGTAGTTTACCTGAAGATTTTGCCACTTTACGACTTGCTAAAAAAATACCGAGGTAAAGATGTAACTTGTAGCACACAGAAGTCATTATTTCAAGAATTAAATGCATCACGTTGTTCAAGGTATAGCATGTGAAGGCCATCTTATAAATTGAGGATTCTGTGCAGAAACCCATTGCCGCATTTGTTTCACGATGTTTATTCAATGTTATTAATTCAAGATTTAAGAAAAACCTTCAAAAACTTTAAACCAAGTATAACACCAAGTAATTCGAAATGTACTTATGATTCCCGAATCCACAAAATTCAGCAAAATCACACGGAAGCTATGCTTGGCAAAGTACATAAGTAATGTAATATAAATTATCACGATGTATTTGGAAATCAATTTATATCTCATCATCGTAATTCATTTTAACAAAATAAATATTAAAACATCTGTACAAAATTACACACCTGTTACAAATTAATTCCAGATCAACAGTCAACTGATAAAACTCATTGAGGAATATAGCTAATTCGATACGTTATTTATTGGGGCAGACCATATTGCCAGTGTGATTATTAGAGAAGTTGCAGCGAAGTACAAAAGTATTACTTCAACATATGCAATGAATAGGGCTTAATACAAAATAACGGTGTTGTTATGATTCATGTTTATGCGAAAAATGGAAATTTGTCTGTTTATAAAATATTTACTTTTATTCAAATTTAGAAATAGTATCCTCATTCATTTTTTTTCTGAATTTTACGATGTTTTATTATTCCCCTCTCGTATCAAAGAACTATCTGAATAATACTTTTATATTTTCAGGAAAACAAATTTGTTTTATCATCTTACTTTTAGTAAGTTGACAGACACTATAATTAGCTTGATGAATAATATTGTTCAAAAAGTAGATATGAATATAACTATATTGATTTTATTTATTGGATTCAATGCAGTATAAGTAATTCTTTAAGGAATCCTTGTAATATTTTATCTCGATATAAATGCTGCTGTAATTTGCTTTGTCCGGACAACGATAAAGTAACTTTAATTTGATATATGTAGCGGTACATACTAGTTGCATAAACACTGTATTCTGAAAGATATCTTCTATGTTTTATCTTTTAGGCATTTCTAAACTTTGAAGTACACATTGATTTTTCAAAAATTCCATTTTATTGAAGGATTTTAAAACTGAAAATGGTAGAAACTAATAGTGGAAAATTCAGCTCAAACAAAAATGGTAGACGGGAACCATCTTGTATTATATGAACAAATAAAGTTAACTTCGTGTCACTGAATGAACCGTAAATATTTTCTTAAGTAGCATTGTTCTTTTCTTTGATAATGAAACGCTGTAATTCATTGATAGAAATATCAAATAAAATGTCACTAGAACTCTTTGTTCTAATTAAAACTTGAACGAAATGTTACGTCAATACACGTTTTAAACTATTCCATCAAAGATGAGAAATAGTTATTTAATTGTATTCTTGTATATATTATAAACATTAAGTTAATATACTAATATATCAATTTATTACATGTCATATTAACTCTTATCATTGTAGCCATGGGTATGACTTCGCCATTCTTCCCAGAGGTCGAGGAAAATAAGCGAACAAGAACTGCCTATGCGAGATGGCAATTGCTAGAATTGGAGAAAGAATTCCACTTTAGTCGTTATATCACAAGGCCCAGACGAATTGAACTTGCAGCTATGCTAAGTTTAACTGAAAGACATATTAAAATTTGGTTTCAAAACAGGTGAATGGATATTTGTATATAATTATTGTTTTGAGGCTTGATATTCGACCTGCTTAGTCACGTATTGATTGTATTTCTTAGAATTTTTATGCATACTAATTCATTATGATTTGGAATAAAACTAAAAAAATGATTCGTAATTTTCATCGTTACCCGACCTGGTCTCTAGTGCCCACTTACTGACAATTGTAAATCGTTTTTGTGTGTGTTGTGAATATATTGAATTATGTACGATGCTATGATACGAAATTATGCTGGACATTTGATGATAAAGTTGTACTCAGATTTTTTTTGATAAAACCGCAAGCGTTATATAGCACTCAAGATTTGCGTTTGTATTTCTTTTTTGTTAGAAAGAAGTCTTGAATTCAGAAATCTGTACCACGAGTTGTCATTCGAATATTATATGTGCAACAAAATGGCTTCAGATTATAGCAACTTATTATGACGTTGCTTAATAATCATTGTTTTACATTACATCCGCATAAACCAAAGGAAAAAAGATTCTATAACAGTAGCTACTTAATTCCTATTATATATATTCTGTTTTCTTGGAATAACATTTTAACTCACCAAAAATTTAAAATTAACATATAATTTTACATAGACGAATGAAGTGGAAGAAAGACAACTCGCTAACACCAAAAAATGCGATGATACTTGGCACGGAAGAAGATCTATCAGGATCCGAGACAAGCATAGCAGAAAAGAGTTGCTCTATTCCAAGTGATAAAGCATCAAATGTTCCGGTAACATTTCCCTTGTCTGACAATGACGTGAAACTTTCCGTCAGCTTATCAGAGTCTTTATCGGACCTAGCAAACTTGACGAAAATGCATTCAAATCACGGACAAGAGTTGCCAGCATTTCCACCCCCGTATTCAACACCTTCATTTTAGAAATTATTCTGGGCGTCAAAGCCTTTTCAAGCATAAAATTTAAATGCCTTGAATATCGAAAGAATCGGCGTTAAACAAATGAAATATTAATCATTCTGGTAACTGTTCCCGACCTAGTTGATCGGTATTTCAAAAGTTTATTACTGCTCTGTTATTTATTTATTCTTAGTATTTGAAAAATATTACGTTTTTTGTAGAAGTTAAGACAAAAATTATGGTTGAAATATATCATCATTTAATTGGTGAATTAGAAGTAAATTGCTCCCGACATTACATATCCTCTTCTTATCGGCCATCGAATATCAGAATTGATATTAATGATAAGCGCTATTACAGATCGCAATCCTTCAAGCCTAGAAATCTCAGAAATTGTTTTATTTTTCCAAGAGCATACAATAACACAAACATAGAAAATAAAAAAATGCCATTGATTTAGAACCATAAGAGATAGATCAGATTTTAAAGTACTGTACAGCAACTACAAATATTCTTATTTAATATGAATAGCAAAAGAAGAAATTAGACTAAATATGATGAAAATTAACAGGTCGAATTTAACCTGGCAGACATTGCTGATAATCACTATCTAGCTTTCAGCGCTGTCCTATCGCTTACCTCGTGAATGTCAATATTGGGTAACAAAATTTTTAAATCAGAATTAGAGTGTTATTATCAACAGTATTTTTTTTTTTTGATAAATAGTGACTGACAAATAACAATTCACAAAAAAAACTGTGACCAAATGTGCAACAGATATGACATCTCTGTTACAATATAAGTAAGCAATTCTAACGTCATTGATTAATGTTTGAACTTGTCAAATATTTCATATGGACCCTAATTAGACGGGAAAAATAATGATAAAAGGTGTTTCAGATATATAGTTAACATAATATTCTTTTTCTGTCTCCTAGAATGATATAATAAAAATATAGTCTGTTTAAAATTAAGGAGTTCGAAATTTTACAATAAATTATAAGCGAAATCGAAATGGACACATATATATATATATATGAAAAGAAATTTGACGAATGTTTCTTTTAAGCTAAAATTTCCAGTTGTTTCAAAGTCTCTCCAGATGTATTTACATAACCGACTAAATACTACAAATTTATCATTACAAAACACATATGATTATCGAAGTATTGCGAATCGTAGTGCTGCCATTGGCTATATTGCTAGTTACATTAGTGTACTTCGACAAGTTCAAAAATAAAAGAGTGCTACACAGCAATAGTTGCTTGATAGCCTTCAGAATATTTTTAAAGTATCGTGTGAATAACGTTTCTGCGTATTTGAAAAAAAAATATACCCCATTCATAGGATTGAATGACGTAGCTTAGTATTAAAATAGATTTTATATATCGATGTCCGTCCCACGAGAACCATTTCGCCCCAAACTTAGAGCTTAAACTTCGACCTTTCAAAGGGTTCAAATCGACGACAGCTTATCAAGCCAACCGCCAACACACGCATTGAACAATGGTCCGTTAGCGAGGCTCAAAATAACAGGTGACGGAGATCTTAGTTGTTGTGCATCTTTTCAACTAGACGGTCCTTAGGGAAAGCTGGCGGCCAGATGATTCAGTGGTTTGAAACTTTAAACATGGATACATTGCTATCAATCAAGCATTGTCAATTCATTATTCATCTTTCGTCTAAGCTTGGCCTTGTCGGAAACTAGTCACACATTTTAGACTGTGCGGCTGATACCACTAATCAATGATTCCACAATTTATCTGAGCACGTGATATAGGCTGATCTAATGTCAGTTAACAGACAGGAATAGATTTTATTCTGGACGTATCCAATTTGAAATTAATCTAATTAAAAAATTTATAAAACAGTTTCAGGCATTTTGCATCCACAAGGAATAGGAGCATGCACATTAAATTATTCGTATCTTTGGAATCAGAGTACTAGCTTGACATGGCAATGACTTTTTAAAAATATCGGTATTTGGGCAAGGTGACTTAGCATTGCAAAACATAGATTTCATGGAACTTTGAAAAAAATTAGTAAGAATGATGTTGAACCTACAAGGCGAGTGAGGAACTTGATTTTTGGTAATTTTATATCAAACGTTTGATATCTCAGGTAACAAAATTGTGTACATATCGCGTTTGCAAAAGGAAGTTTGTTTCATTTTGCAGAAATCGAAGTTCTATAACGATTCATTGTGTGTACGAATAATTGCGCAATTAAACACGAAAAAATGTAGGTGTTTCATAAATTTCTAATTAACCAGAGTGGAGCAATGAAAAATTTCTTTAATTCATAAAAGAAAATTGCAGCAGTGTAGCAACGTTGCAGAGGCTAGAGGTAGAGATTTATAAGCGCTTAAGAATTACCTTGAAACTGACTTGGCACTTACGTTATATACAGATTATTCAAAGTCTTCAAAAAATACGAGCCATCAATATTGGACTGGTTTAACCTTGGTTCAATAAATTTTCTTTTTATGTAAACAAGTAACACGAAACTTACAGCAAGAAAAAGATATTATTAAGTTAGAGTTGTGTTGGATTTTAGATACTTGCGCTTTAGATCAGGTTATAAGATATAGAATATATTAACAATTACAATTTTTAGAGAGATCATTGATTATTGAAAAAAATTTGAATCCTAGAATTATGATGATTTTAAATATAATATAATTCTTATACAATAATATCAATTGTGATCATAAGAATGTAAATGAACTATATATTAAATAACGCTTCAAGTTGGGATATAACGTTTTTGCCCTATGAACTCGACATTCCTTCAGCTGTCAAATAGTGGCGTTTAATGATCATGAATTGAGTTTAAATGCAACCCTATGTTCACAAAATGATGTTGTCAACGTTTATTTTAATATAGACAAATCCTAATTTCCTGCAGATTGACAGAACTTGTTTTTATTCACGTTTTACGAGTAAATGTTCTAGTTTCAAAAATATATTTCCAGAATTTAAGAACTTGTTTGGCACAGTTCTTAGCTTCACGAAATCTTATTCGCCTACTGTTCTCTCATGTACTCCTTCATAGGGTAACGGTTTTTGATAGAATGATAATAAGAAATTAGTAATTGCACATTCAAATGAAGGATAGAGAATGGGTCTAGCAATATTCAAATGTTTATTGCCGGCTGCCACCAGTCTAAGCCTTATTGCCCCCGGGGCATTGGCTATGAAGAAATATCTACACGCTGAAGGATTTATTTACCTCTTTGCCACAATATTCCAAATGGTAAGTTAAAGTTTATGCCAATATAATTGAAAGACTTCAACTAAACATAATTTTACTACGTGATACATGTTCATATTCCCAAGTGGAAACAAAATCACAAAACATTGTCATTGTTTATAGTTATCGTTTATTGTTTTCATTCAACGTATATCATTTTGCACCACTTGTATACTGCTGTACAATGATTGTATCAAACTCTATATTCCGTTAGGGAACGATGATTTTCTGCTGAATAAACTTTCATTATGTCAAGTTCTAGCAAGATATTACATAAAACCTATCACCCTTCGAGCAGAAAATCGCAACCAAGTTTAATCGCTGGCATTGCATCTGAAATAATCTTGTGTCTAAGTCTTATATTTACCGTATAACACAGGCTGTAATAAATTGGATAAGCTATCTTGAACTATATGTAGTATTTTTCCTAAGCCTTTTCGATTACAATAAATCTTAAAAAAAAATTGGCACGCCTCCTAATATGACAATATGACAAAAAATAATCTATATCAAAAGTTATATAAGTCGCTTTGACTTCGAAATATCAAACCTACAATGTCTTAGTTTATTCATTTTGTTAGAGCGTAATTTATGTTGGGTAGGCTTTTATAATAATCAAACCAATATTCTGATTTAGATGCATCATTTATGTCAATGCCCAGGATTGTCGATTATATTCTGCTTTATGGGAGAAGAGTTACTTGAATATTATTCAACATATTCACTTATTCTGGGGATGTTTATTACAATTGTTAATTTAACAAAATTCACTAGAGTAAGAAAGTGAGTGAGAAAAGTAATATTTTATTATTATTTTCATTTCGGTTGTTACGATAGTAATAATACTATAGTAATTCCAGGATCATCATCTAAATCAGGGGTCTCCAACTCAAAATATGTCGCGGGCCACTTTGTGAAATTTATTGACGACGCGGGTCGCAAATTAGATACAAAATTGTCATACAAAATTTAACAAAGTTAATCTGAATATATTTGTTGAAATTACCCTTGAATCTTACACTAAGCGAGACCTGAAACATATTCGTTTACTTCTGTTTGTTATTTGGCACCGTTTTGCAGCGATCAGAGACTCGATGTTTGGCCTTATTTTGCGTTTGTTTGCTGGTCTTTATACAGCATGCAAACTCTCATCCCTTAGTCGTGTGCAAAAGGATGATTTGTTAACTCTCATTGTTAAAAAATTATTTCACAAGCTTTCAAAATACACTTTTTAATAAAGCTTCCCTCAACGAAAGAACGCGACGATTGCGCAATCATCTTACTCATGGCAAAGCTTGCTTTCATTGAATCTTCACAAGTTTTGTTTATGTTTGAGAAAAGTTTCTCTGTTTCATCAGTAAAAATTTTATTTGCGATACCTTTTCGTGGCGAATTGTTTCACTATAAACATGTTTTTTCCCCCTGTGTAATGATACATGAGTTTATAATAATCTAGTTTTGCGTTAACTGCACATATAATCCATAATCAACTAATGATTCAAAACTGCACAGTTCCATTGTCTGACCGAAACTTGTTTATTTCGTCATAATAAAAACGCGAAATGGAATGATTGAATTTACAATTTAATTGTTACAATATGTATAATAAAATATGAACGTGGTAAAGTGGCATAACGGGGGGAATTTTTGTTTTACTTTTAACAGTTCGTTGTACCGGACTCTTAATGTTGAATAACACGATAAAACTCATAGTTGCCATCATACTATTTTAGTTTTTTCTGTAAAAATCTCAACCACGATGCGAGCCGCAAAAAATGCTTTGCTGGCCGCATGCGGGACGCGTGTTGGAGACCCCTGGTCTAAATCCCACATCTAATTTACATTATCATTTTTAACTCATATCCAAACAGCACGCCTACTGACACTCACAAGACGTAATAGTTACCGAAAAACCAAGAAATTTAATCAAAACTCTATCATAACATAGGGGTCAAGATGCAGCGTTTGAAAAGAAACCTACTCTAATCGAAATGTTGTGTGCTATATATATATATATGATGACCTTTTGTATAGAAATATTATTTATTGAAGTGAATACAGGAAGAATCATGATTCTCTGGAGTCTTTACCAAATCATGAATTACTTTGGCAAACAATATGAAACATAGAATGGAGAACATTTAATAAAAATAAAAATGTTTCCTATTCATGATTTTTTTGTTATTTCAAAAAGCATACTCAAAAATATGGCGCTCCAGAAATATGTGTATCAATATGGAGGTAACTAATTTTGTTCGCCTACCTTACATCAATTTGTGTACAGAAACTGATTACCATGGGCAGGGATGTAGACAGTTGCCGAACTCGTAATAGAACTAAAATAAGGAAAATCAGAATAAAATTATGGCCTAACCATAACCTGGTACACAAACTACGAGAGTACCAAAATATTAAGGTACTGAATTAGGATTCAATTTTCAAATTAGAATTTGTTTTTATATTTTTCAGATTAACATTTTGTATTACATGTGGCATGATGTGCAGTATTCGTATTTATCAAACCTCTACTGGAATAGGGGTCTACTCTCCCCCTTTAATTATAGCAGGGATACTTCTGGCATATTCATGGGTAAGTGTATTTTACTCAATATGATTCTAACCCTTTTAATAAAGTTAAATAGTAAAAAGTGAAACAAAAATGGATGTAACAATTGATATTTGACCATTTCAATAAGTTTAAAAGCAATGGAGTTGTTTTCTGCGCATTAACATGTTTAGTCCAGCTTTTTACTTTTTGGTAATTGCTTTCTATTTTCTCTCATGTTTTAGAAAAAAAACAATTATTGCTTTTCAGTTAGGGCGTTGTGAGACCTTTCAGAGTATAATTAAAAGCGATTTAACCACCTAACCATTTTAAATTTAGGGTAGGCATATGTATGACACAAAGAAATTTTATCCCGAAAAGACGATATGGTTGAAAAACATTCTTCCAGCTTTGCTATTCGGTACTTTTTCAATGGTGATGCTATTCTGCGTTCAAAATAGGTTAGTAGTAATAAAACCTTTTCAAAAAAATTATTTATATGGCTTAAAATAACTCATTAGTAAATTGCATCGTATTGTTATGCTGTAGTTTTTCACAAAACCTAGTCAACAAATGCACTAAACCCACAGAAAACTCAATTATTTTGTCTACGCAAAGTCGAAGAGCTTTTTGACGTGAGTTTAGGCGTTCGAATAGGATGCATATGGAATGGTTTATCGGGGAAGTTTTGACTTTGCCCATTTTACCATATCAACTATAGTTCCTTAACTAAAGTTATATCTTTTCAGTATCAACTATGGATTTATCCACAGTCTCCACCATATTTCGATAGCTGTGTCATTCTATTTTTTCTTGCAAATGACTGAAGATGGAGAGAAACCAAAGGGAAACGAAAAATTTTGTAGTTGTGGAAAACTTTCTATGGTTCTGTGCTGCTGTTAAAGAAAATAGAGTAGTCATAAATTATGCCGTTAAGTGTGCGTTGCGGTTCTATAGCGAATACTTCTATGAAATCTAGTGTTTTCAAAAATTGTTGGCGCACGCAAAACGATGACAACTATTTTGTACATTTATAATGAAGTGTTAGTGCCTTTTTATTTTTATTTCTTACCGCTATACATATTATTCTATTGAAACCAGTCAGATGAACGCAGGTATTTCGTATCGTGATTTATTTTTCTTTTATTCTGTCTCTATTTAGCACTTATTCGTATAGAAAGCAAGTTCTCGCTGAAAAATAGGCAATTCAGATACTCAAACTACTGAAAATAACCATCGCTTGACAACCGTGTGATTATTTATTATACCATTCCTGTATATGGTGTGCAATGTACAATTGTATAGTGGTGTGGATCAAAATATAAAAGTATTTCAATAATTTATGATAATTGAATAAATTCTACATTGTATAGTATTAAGGTATGGATTATTGTCGACTGCAGATGTGTTAGACACCTATACACCGCTAAAATATTGATTCAATATGTCGCGTGAAGTCCGAAGTTTCGAAAAGACTGAAACATGTCGCCCACCTCCCTCTCTCTCTCGCTATCATTCTTCAACACAGCAATAAGAGAGCCCTTACAACAACGATTGCGTGCATAGTAAATGAGCTAAACATAATTAACATAGTGTTGATCTAGGTTTTATAGCCTTGCCTAGTTCTGAAACAACAATAAACTGCAGTGAAGGATTGATTAACATTCCTTACTAACTTCATATAAATACGCACTTGTTTGACAACGTGAAAATTTGTTTCTGCATTTGCAAACTAATATCCATGGGAATATGGTAAAACTAGTTACTGAGATAACTATCGATCCATTTTGTACGATTAGGGTTCCTTGCCAATCAGTTTCCATCCAGCCATGTTTGCGTAGATTGTTGGTTTTTTAGGTACCCCCAACCAATATAGTTTGTTGCAACTCCATCAAGAATCCTTGTTAACGAAGTTCTTGTCACTTTGACACATCAATCGACTTCCTCTATCTTCCTGCAACTAATTTATATTGTTCATCGCAGATCGAAACAAAAAAGAATAAGAAGCTCCCAACTACTGACGCGTTATGCTAAGAATGTCATTCTGTAAAATATTGGATACATCGTCCGTTTTAAACGGGGAACTAATTAAATAACGCTATTAAGCACTTTTTCAATAATTTATTACTTCAGAAAAAAGCAATGTGTACTTTGTAAAAGTAATGATAGTAGGCTAACTGAAGAAGATGAAGCCTAATTATTTTTCAAGAATTGTATTATACAATTTATTAGCTTATTATATTTGTTAAAGCCTTTATATTTTTATTATGCTCATCTATGTTATTTACCATAAAACAAGAATATATACGAAAGTTTTAGTTTATTCAACTAATTCAATTCAACATTAAAATTTCCATTAAAACACGTTTTGAACAAAACATGGATTATAATCTAAGTTTAATCAAAATAAATATTAATTATGTTTAAAGGATTTACAGAAACAAAAAGTATTTCTATAATTGTAGTTGTGCGTACTGAAGCATTATTTGGTTTAATTTGCGTCAACCTATCTTTATTAAATAGCTCAAGTTGATCTGTACAAAATGAAATTTTGATTAAAATATTTCATAGTTACACTCATAAGAGATTTACTTCATGATTTGAAACTCACAGCGCATGCATCAACGCTATCATCGATACGACCTGCACAAAAATGCGCGGAGGGATCAAAGACGTTGCCCCATGCGCTACAAACATCATATGAAAATGTTTACACTACGCCATCTTGCGCCTTATAAGCACACGTAGAATTTCCACCACGTCCAACTGCAAAATAAAGATACATATAGAATATTAAGATCTCGATCGAAAACGATCTCGTTTATGAAACGAAATATGCAGTGGGCCAATCAAATGAAATATTTTGGACGAGAATCGGTTTACTTTTGCCCCATCCGACAACAACGCATTGTCTGTCTTCAGTAATCCCTTCGTCTCACAGTAAACATATTGGCGTATACAATCATCAAAACGAGGAAAAGATTCCTTCAACTGTAAAATGGTGCATGGTAATCGACAAGTATTAAGTTCAAGAAAATTAACTATCACCATTTGTTTATTAATACAAACAACGAATAGTAGATTTAAATAAATATTTTAAAATAAACAATTAAAATACCTTGATAACTGCTATATCTCCATATACATCGACTTTGTCTACTGGCATTGAACTTGGAGGTTTTGATAGGTCGTATAAAATAATCTTTTTAACATAAAAATTCTAAAATACAGAACCATGATTAACAACTATATGCTCACGAAATTGTTAATAGGGGGCTCACTAGATACGAGATTGCCATTATCGATCAGTGGAAAATCCTATCAGGGGCACATTTATTTGGCAGAAACAAGCTTGCCGCAAAACAACAGACTTCCAAGTGATCAGAAAGCAATACAGCAGTAATAGCCGTCAAGAAGAAGACGCTAAAATTTTTAATACTGAATCAAAAACGAATGGCCACGGCCATTTTGATATGCAGGCTTGTCCATGGGACAAATTTTTTCTGTCCCATCTCATCCTTTTTCAATTGAAACATTCACAACTTTTATATAACCAACAAGAGAGCTATGCTCATATATATGGACACGAAGTACATAACCAAATGTTTTACCATCAGTTCCAAGAAAATCATACGGTTTTCTGAAGAAAAATTGAAATTTTGGATGAAATATCAGGTCTTATAGGATTCAGAGAAAATTTAAGACAAACAAACGAAAGCTACAAGCCTTGTCGCAAAAATACAATCAAAGATTGAAAATTTCGAAATTGGTCCAGAAATTAATTAAACATATAAACGTTTTTTTGTTCATAACGATAGGCAGGAAAATTCCAACGATGAGAACTAAAGCAACAAAAAGAAAGCAACTACATAATAAAACGATCCATAGGTCTACTACGTGTCCCACAATGGCACTTTTATGCTATTTCTAAGTCACTTTCCTCATCATTCAACAAATCATTAATTTCCTGTTCATCGACTAACAATTCTGCTAATTTGGAGACCTGAACTTTTTCGTTTATTTTCATTTTTGATGCATATTTGATGTAGACGGAGTTGATAACCAAAGAAGGTAACATTCGTTGTCGAAGTTTAGTCAGAAACAGCCCGGCCGCACTGAACAAACGCTCTACAGAAGCAGATGATACCGGTACGGCCAAAACAATTTTTGCTCCAGCTTTCAATAATGGGAATTTGTGTTCGTTTTTCCAGTAATCCATAGGGTGGGAATTTGGCTGCCGTAATTTTTGAAACAGGTTGACTTCATTCTCAAGATTATTGTTATTTATCGGGCCATCATATTTAAGTGCTTTCTTGGGTACAGGGTCAAAAAGTAAGTCGAAATCACTTTTTGGTTTTTGTTCCACAATTCCTGCTACGTCACATTCACCAGACGATCCAGAGGAAAGATTCAAATCACTCAGGAATGAAATAACAGTTGGAATAACAGACTTAGAAAAAGCAACCCAGGCATTGGCCCATTTAGAGATGTTTACATCACTTTTCTTCTGAGTAACTGAATTGACCATGTCTTCTATTTTTGCTGAAATATCAACTCCAGTGAGGAATGCAGCAGTAACTGCCAGAGAACTGCCGCAATATGGCCAAAGTTTCTCCCCAATAATACTGTGAAAGTTCTGACAATATTTCTTTACCATGCTGCTGGAAGTCTCTTTGTCAATATCAACAATAAATTTGTACAACTGATAGTCTAGGATGAAGTATAACAGCAAAATTAAATGAGATGTAGCACCATCAATTTCTAATTTGTCAAAAAAGGTTTTAAATTTCTCATGTATAAAGAGCATTCCTTTAATCTGAGCAAAACTCGGAATGTGATTCAGAAATTCCTCATCATCTTCATTACAGTAATGTGAGTAATTTTTCAAATGGGCATTAAAACGTCGGTAATATGATCGCCATTCCCGTGTTGCAGATTTTGTTGGTATTGAAAACAGGAGCTGTGATGCCTTTGACTGAAGTGTATTGTAATATGTTTCGATATATGAATGTTGGCACATGAATTGGTCCAGTTCAAAAATCACGCCCACTCTGAAGCTATCGGTAACGCATGTTGATAACCTGTGCTCAGTACAACCAGATCGATGAATTTGTATATCGGTATCAAACCGTCCATCAAACGCGGCCTTCATGGTTGCTGCATTATCCGTACACACAAATAATGGACTGGAGAAAGTGGTAGATTCCGCAAGAAATTCACGTAAAAAAAAGCTGTGTGTAAATTTCGCAGTATGAGATTCACTATTATCAATATTAATATTAGTTAGAGGAAAAGTAAACCATTTCCAATTGTGATCTAGTCCACAGGCAATAATTCCACCATATGGCAACAGATATGTTTGTCTAGCAGACCAAAAATCAACTATTCCTGAAATTGCACACTCTGGATCTTGTGCCATATTTTGAAACAATTTCTGAAATTGAAGTTTTGCTAATTTTCCTTGTTTCAGAATAGAACGAGACACTGTTTGTCGTGATATTGTGTAATTATATACCTTGTTTGCAGCATGAGTAGATCTTGCGATAAAGCTAGCAGCATCACATAGAATGTCACATCCAGCCGAAATAGATACTGTTGGATGTGATGTAAGTAGTTCAACAACTGTTTTTTGCCACGTATTCGCCAATGCTGCTGGTGGTTTTTGTACTTCCTGCTGCTTGGCATCAAAATATCTTTTGATATCCTTAGACGCGCCAGAAGAACCACATTTTATGCTATGCTCTATTGCAACTCCGTAACCACTTTGATTAACCCATTTTCCATTGATCAACTTATACCAACTGTATAGAGTTTTGCACTTTGCGCAGCAAAAAAATGGTGCCAAAATACCATCAGATATTTCCGGCGTTTTAACATTGACAGTTGAAGACTTTACAAGTTTACGTGTTCTTTTGGAACATCAATCAAGTGGCATTTTTTATCACTTAACATCTTGGAAACCACAATTTTAGATACATTTTGGAACTCATATTTTTGATTGCTCATTTTCGGGTGTTGGCAATAACTGCTCCACAGCACTTTTTATCAAACCCAGCTCAACAATTCAGATTCAACTCTCCTCCGTACCGGTAGACTATAATTCGTCTTCTTAGTTTAAAATGCTAGAAGCGAAACTATGACGTAACAATGGTTCCCGGCGTAAGTTTGGCTTTTATATTCCAGTCCAATCAAGCGTACTGTTGTGATACCACGTTACTTCACTACCATGTTAAAAGTTAAAACTGCACCGTTGAAGACAATAAGACATAATGATAATTTTATACGTGCAC